CGCCATTAGTGACTAGAAGTTACCAGGTAAAACCAGAAAGGTCAATAGAGTGCATTTACATTTACTGTCTTTGCAAGTATTTTCATTCAGAAATGAAACACTGCATTTTGGTGACATTACAGCATTTGCAACTGTCTTGAGCTTTAAGTGAAAGTCATGGCTGTCAACACTGTAAATATAGACAGTCTTAGAGAAACAGTCTGAATGTGAAAGGAATTCTGCTCTCTGTAAAACCAGTGTATGTGGACAGTGCAGAAAATAACACAGTAAAATAATGCACAACAATCCATAGGACCCCACAGGATGAATGAAGACCAAGGACAAATACAGGTAACCTCACGAATCCCTACTTCCAGCATTTGAGATGGTTATGAGTGTTTGTCAGTGTGTGCTATGGTTATTGTCATTCTTTGGTTAAACATCATTTAACTTGAATACTGAGCTTCCATAGGAATGCTCACCCATTCTTTGACACATTTAATTATGTATTATCAACCACTATGGTGAAGCATTATTGCAATGCAGCAGTATTGCTTCGCCATTTCCTCACCAGTGAAAGAAGCTGCAGTGTACAACAACAACTGATGACGGACAGGGATGGTGGGGGTACCCAGGGGCCTCCTGAACCAGCATATTCTATCAGATGAGGTTATAATCATTCATGCAGTGCATGTGATTGTTAGGGTTAGTCCCCCTCACCAGGAGGATGAGGGAGAACTGTGGTAGGACTCAAGATTGCCGGCCCAGGTGCTAGTACAAAAGGTGGTTTAATGGGGAAAATACAAAGTAACAAAAAACAACTATCCTAGTCCATATACATATATCAGCAAAGTAGGGCAGAGATGGTGGAGGAGACCAGGACGAACAGGTGAGTAGAGCAGACTAACGGTAGGAACCAGGAGAGTTGGAGGATCAGGACGGACAGGTGAATAGATAAACCAACCAGGAGGACTGGCGAACGAAAAGGAAATGCACAGCACAGGACCTATCAGCGTGGATACCAAAATAAGGTCTGGCTAACCTCATGGAAGAAACAAAAAAAAAAACATACAAAGAGATCCACAGCACAGAAACTGTCAGCGTGGACGTCAAAACAACGTACGACACATACCACGAATACAGGTATTTCCACAGGTAATTCGGTGTATGCTACGCCTTTGTACATGTATTTGTATAATTCTATGGCGACGATGGAGCGTCTGCCAGCGGTTTAAATAAGGAAGGACACTAGTCACAGTAATGCGCCCCAGCTGTGTGTGACCACCCACGGGTCACTAATTGCAGGATGCGACACAGCTGAGGAGCAGATCCTGCAAAAAGAGCGAGCAGGAGAGAGAAAAGGCAAAAGAGAGGCAGGTCGCGCCGAGCGGACCTGATAGTGATGACAGCAAACTTCAAAAGGCAGCAGCACATGTTAAAAAGCCTTTCACACTAGAGTGTCTGAGAAGTGGTATTCTCATCATGTCCTAACCTGTCCCAACCACATACTGCCATCACACTTTTAACAAATGAGAGATGAGCTGTGCAAAGAAATGGCAATGACATGTAGTTACAATCGGTGTTGGGAAGGTTAGTTTGCAAATGTAACACGTTACAGATTACTAGTTACCCTGTTAAAAATGTAGTCAGTAATGTAACTATTTTAATTACTTCATCAAAGTAAAGCAACTTATTACCTGTAACTACTTTGTAATTACTCTTCTAAAAATGTTTTAAATAAAAATGAAAAATCCCAACATAAATTTAAACCAGGCAGTGTAAACATCACAACAGTACTTCAGAATCAGAATCGGCTTTATTGGCCAGGTGTGTCAGACACACGAGGAATTTGACTCTGGTACATCGGCTCTCAATGTGCATGTACATATCCACATGCAAGGGGCAAGTAAACAGTAAACCAACATAAGGCTGTGTAATATAACAGTATTTACAAGCAACTGTTTGTTGCTTGTAAATACTATGGGGGGGCGTGCCACCTTCCTGGGTTCCCCCCTGCCTCAGGAGCTGCTACTTGTCACTTGATTACTGTCAAAACTTTATTAAAGGTTCTTCAACATAACTTCAGTTACATAATATATTACAGTGGAAACATGTAGCCTACTGATGGGCCCTAAGTAAAGCCCTTTCCTGATTTCAGAAGTTAAATACAGTTGAACTTCTGGCACTGAAAGTTATTCTTGTTCGACAACATGACCACTCTGCTTGATGTTGTCGGATGGTCACAGTCAGGCATGGCAGACTCATGTGTGACTTGATTGGCAGATGAGAGGCGGTGCAAAGTCAAACAAGAGAACCAATCAAAAGCAATATTCAAAATGTAATGCACCTACCAAATGAATGGAGCCTATCTGGGTGTAGAGACAGCTCCTTGTTAGCCATCCTATCCATGATGGCTTTGCTGACCTGGCTTGTACGTAATATGCCAAAAGAAGCTATTCTGCAAGGTGAAAAGATGAAGATGTGAAACCCATCTTTTAAGTTTTTACTTAAAAGAATATATTCAGATGTAACTTCTTTGTAATCACCAACATTTTGGTTAGCAACTGTAATTTAATTACATATTTTTCTGAGTAACGCTAACTGATTACAGTTACATTTACTTTGAAATGTAATTATAGTAACTAGTTACATGTAACTAGTTAATCCCCAACACTGGTTATAATAAACAAAAGGGAGTGAGGCAGTAACCTCTGTGCCTCTGTTATCCTGTGAAGTTAAACTACACAAAAAGTACTGCTCAGCAAACTGAGAGCAAAGTGTGAAGGTTTACCTGGAGGACAGTGTGGAGAAAATACACAAAGACATTTTTGAAGAATTCCTTCAGAGACAGATATACAGTATATACAGCTGTGTTCCCTCTCCTCTGCTTCTGTCCAGCTCTGTACCAGGTCTCTGGGTGTGTACAGCTTCACAACCTGCTGCTGTTTTAAAAAC